TCCCTTCTAGGCCTCGGAGGCATGGAAGAAGCCTCCCAGGCCTAGAAGGGCCGCCGGAAGTGCGTGGATGCCACTTCCAGAAGTCCGTTCTAGGCCTCGGAGGCCTGGAGGAAGCCTCCCAGGCCTAGAAGAGCCCGCCGGAAGTGCGTGGATGCCACTTCCAGAAGTCCGTTCTAGGCCTCAGAGGCCTGGAGTAAGCCTCCCAGGCCTAGAATGGCCTGCCGGGAGTGCGTGGATGCCACTTCCAGAAGTCCGTTCTAGGCCTCGGGGGCCTGGAGGAAGCCTCCCAGGCCTAGAAGAGCCCGCCGGAAGTGTGTGGATGCCACTTCCAGAAGTCCGTTCTAGGCCTCGGAGGCCTGGAGGAAGCCTTCCAGGCCTAGAAGGGCCCGCCGGAAGTGCGTGGATGCCACTTCTGGAAGTCCATTCTAGGCCTTGGGGGCCTGGAGGAAGCCTCCCAGGCCTAGAAGTGCCGCCGGAAGTGCGTGGATGCCACTTCCGGAAGTCCGTTCTAGGCCTCGGAAGCCTGGAGGAAGCCTCCCAGGCCTAGAAGTGCCGCCGGAAGTGCGTGGATGCCACTTCCGGAAGTCCGTTCTAGGCCTCGGAAGCCTGGAGGAAGCCTCCCAGGCCTAGAAGGGCCCACCGGAAGTGCGTGGATGCCACTTCCGGAAGTCCGTTCTAGGCCTTGGAGGCCTGGAGGAAGCTTCCCAGGCCTAGAAGGGCCCGCCGGAAGTCCGTGAGTGCCACTTCCGGAAGTCCCTTCTAGGCCTCAGAGGCCCAGGCCTGCCTCCATGCAGAGAACCGGTTGTTCTGATCATTCAATTCCCCTCACTGGCTATGGAACGTCTTTAGGATCTTCTTGGGCACAGATAAAACTGGATCTCCATCTCCACCGGGTGGAGAAAAGATCGTAGTTAAGTCTACGTCTTTCCCCTCCTACCTTTGTCTTGAAGGACGTTCCAGGCCTCCAATGCCTAGAACAGACTTCCAGAAGTGGTATCCATGCACTTCCGGTTGGCCGTTCTAGGGCTGGGAGGCCTCCTCCAGGCCTCCGAGGCCTAGAACAGACTTCCAGAAGTGGTATCCATGCACTTCCGGTGCGCCGTTCTGGGCCTGGGAGGCCTCCGAGGCCTAGACTGGACTTCCAGAAGCCAGCCGGTTCTCCGAATTCAGGTCAATT